CCCTCTTTCACTCGCATACCGAATCCCTCACCACCAACACCCTCCACATAGTGCCATGTCGCAGTATACACAGATTCATATGCACCTTCCATTACCACAGATGTCGCTAACTGAGAAACAAACTTCTTCCCCTTTGCAATATTAAGAGCTCCATCCAGCTTTCCCCTTGCCATTAAAAGAATACTCTCCTTCTCTGTGAATTCATCCCATTGCTGCAGATAATAAACTCCTGCTTTTTCAAGATTGTTTGCAACCTCCCGCAGAATCCCCATATTTTCCTTTATTCTCTCGTAGGCGGGCAATGCAGTAATATGATCCCTTAGTTTTTTATTCTCTATATACATATCTGGTTGTATGACAAATGCTTCCATGGTAACATTCTCATTGGAATCAACAACACCCCTGCCACCCACATTATTGCGGAGGAAATCATTTAGTTTAGGTGTCTCCGGGATATTCAATCCATCTAGAAGTATTTCCCTGACTCTGGTGTTCAATGTCCACTTGGGTTGAGGTACAACTTCCACTCTTGCACGTCCCGCTGGCGGTTGATCAGGATCATTTTCTCCTTCTCTTCTTGACATCACTTCACCATGCGTGTGTTCCACACCTGCTAATTCTTCCTCTTCATTCATCGCATGGACATTCTTTCTTTTTCTTCCTCTTCTCCCTTGGTTCATCGGCATTTTTTTTTTTACTACTCACACACTTCTGCAATACCAAAAGAAAAATAAAAAGAAAAAAGAGAAAATAGATGAAATGTCTGTAAAACTACACAGGAAACAATTTGCACTGAGTGACACACACACAATATACAAGAATACGAGACCCATGTTACCAAGAGAAAGCAATTTGTATGTACACTGTATTTAACTCAGAATATGCAGCATGGGTTTCCATTCAGCGTCATTGCACAGTGATTTACTCCCTACCGTCTGTTATCCTGCAAGATAAGGGTCATCCTCATGCACAATGAGTTGTGTTCACTCCAGTATCAATACCCAAGCAGCAGTGAAGAAGACTCCTTCATTCACCACAACGCAGATATCAAGCACGTGTTCGTGTTTGGGTGGAGACAGGATGGTTGCAACATCCCTATCCACTGAGGAACACTACTGCAATGCATCCCACAAACACAGTTTCATTCTTTTATTTTTGTATTGTTTTGACTTCACCCACATCATTGCAACTGGTTGTCCAGTTCATTTTTCTTTGACACTGCTTTCTTTTCTGTTCTGTATTAAAAGCAGCAACAAAGAAACAATCCCATTCCCTTTCCATCATGCACAAAAATGTTAACACTAACAAAGTGTGTCCCTGGTGGGTCCACCATCTCCCCTCCTTTCCCCTTCAGGCACTAGAGAAAACCACTGCAAGAGAGGCGACAGTGCAACAGACAACACACACTTTCGTCTCTGCATTGCCTCTATACTACTCCTTTCATTATCATCACCAGTGTGCAACAAATCAAAAAAAAAAGCAACAGAGTCCTAGCATAATAAACTGGGACTTTACCATTTGCAATTATGTGACAGGTACGCATGGCAAGGCAATCTGAGAACGTATTTGTTTCTTCACGTCCAATACTGTTTTCACGTCCCAATGAAAGCATAGAACAAAAAAAATAAAAACCCTCAACCACAAGAAAACTCTTTGCCAAGGATTGCCCTACATAATCACTCAAACATAACATGCGATACGAGACTCACCTTCCTTCTCCTTTTAGTCCTACAGAGTGGTCACAATAGAATAAAGGAAGAGAAACGGATAATGCCACCCACTGAACCATGGCAAACATATCATAGTACAGGTCATGAAAACAATTACACATTCCAACCTTTTGTCCATGAACTCTCGCTTGCATGCATAACTCACTACAATTTTTTATTTCCTTCTGCATCTAATGATGGAGATATTGCTCTTCTCATTGCCCCAGGAATGACACCGAAAGCGTTGGCTGTAGAACCTCACTGCAAACCACTCAAGAGAAACAAGGAAAATAATAGAAAAAAAAAACTAAAAAAAAGGATATCCTCGTGCGCATACTAATGTATATCAACTAAAAGGCAGTGACCTGTTTGATGGCTTCATATAATTTCAACTCATTTGGTAAATACAGTTGCTCATGCAAAGGGTGGGGAGTGTCAAGTCCACAAACTCGCATGGGTGGTGCTTCCAAGGAAAGAAAACAGTCTTGCGTAATGCTTGAAATCAGTTCTGCGCCCAAGCCGCTTGTCTTTGGGGCTTCATGCGTCACAATGACACGCCCCGTTTTGCGAACAGACTGCGTGACCATCTCACGATCCCAAGGCTTGAGTGTACGCAGGTCAATAATTTCCACAGAGATACCGTCCTGGTGTGCACGTTCAGCGGCCTTAACGGCTACACCCACCTGCGTGCCATATGTCACTACTGTCACGTCCTTTCCTTCCTGAAAGGTACGACCCTTACCAAGAGGAATGGTATAGTACGTAGGATCCACGTTTTCCACTGCGGCGCGGTAGAGTCGCTTGGGTTCAAAAAAAATACAAGGGTCCTCCTCCTCTATACACTGCAACAACAGACCTTTTGCATCAGACGGTGTGGACGGCATCACTATTTTTATACCAGGGCAATGATTAAAGTACCCCTCCACACTCTGTGAATGATACATACCTCCGTGTGCCACCGCAGAACTTGGTGAGCGAATTACGAGACCACCACAGTGAAATTGACCTCCAGAACGAAACCGCATCTTGGCTGCCTCATTAACAATTTGATCAAACGCTGGAAATATATAATCTGCAAACTGAACTTCAGCAATTGGTTTCCATCCCACAGCGGCCATTCCAATTGCAAATCCCACAATACCTTGTTCAGTTAGCGGTGAATCAAACACACGTTTTGCGCCATGTTTCTTAACTAAATCAAGAGAACACCTAAAAACGCCACCAAACGCAACATCTTCGCCAAACAATACCGTTTTTTCGTTTTTAGAAAGTGCAAGGTCCAGGGCGGAATTAATCGCTTGGAAAAAATTCATCTGTACACCATCTTGGGGTTTTACGTGTCCTTCTGCTTGCGTCAGAAAATGATTTGATGAGTGAAAACTCTTTATAGTAGTAATAGAAGAATGAAAGGGAAAAAAAGGAGGCATAATGCACATGGCCCCCAGACGTCGCACCATGTTTTTTTTTTTCCTTTGTAGCTTTACTTCCTTCACTGCTTGTTTTGTGAAATAAATCGAATGATACCCAACAAAATGCTAAGAAGAATATTAGAAAAGAGAGTGGAATCTGTTCAGATAAAAATTCTGAGAACTTTTAGATGTATGTATAACACTGCAACAAATATGTAGTTTTTCACCTTACCAAACTGTTTTTACCACGAGGAAAAATTCACCTGTGACAATATGTAATGGGCCCGTGGTATCTGCACCACATGGTACAGATCTACTATATGCGGGGGACAACTGTCCACCCCTCTAGTCCGCGGCGGCGATGCGTCCCTCAACGACACCGGAGAATCGCTGAGTGAACTTTCAACACCTGTCTCCCCAGAGGCCGCAACGCCGTGTCGCGCAACAGAAGATGGTGATGGTGATAATGACTGCAAATTGAGACATTTTTCCTTTCCTGTTTCTTCCATTATTTCAACAATAATTGGCGATTTAGATTCTTCTCTGTTACAATCAGAACCCTCTGTCCCAAACGCCAATTGCTCCAAAGACGTGGTAACTTCTATAGATGGGGATTTTTTTTTGTGATGTTCTCCTGTTGGAAACTCCCCTGAGTTACCAACTTCAGACTTTTGCATATTTGATAGTTTGTTTAAATCATTCCTCTTTCGCTCCTCTGAGACAGTTCTGACGAGAATTCGATGCACATATGCCTCCTCATCAAATGGCAAATCTTCTACTAAAGGCGCTGATGATCGCCGTTGGACACTACTCCGCTTTGATGGAACATTCATTGACGGAGCTAACACAGCATCCCTTGAAGAACCCAAGGAAAACTTTAATCGATGACGCATCTCGTAGCTTCTTTCCGCAAGTGCTTCTATTTCCAGAAAAAGAGTGTCATTGGGAAGCCATTCGAGGATTTTTTCAATACCTTCACTAGGAAATAGACACCTTTCCTCCCTTTCATTTTTCTCATTTTGTATGGGTAATGTGGTTGTTTTTTTGGTGGTAATGATCCGTTTGCCATTCCCTAGTGCTCTTTTTGTTGGATTTTGCGTCATAACAAAGCGTTGTGCCTTGTACGGATATACCGAAGAGCTACCAATTATTCGTGCCCCACGCACCTCTGTGGTGGCTTCGCCAGCCCGACTGGTTGTTCCCATTTCATAGATAACTCTTTTTTTTTCCTTCCTTTTTCCTTACCGCTTTTCCATGCAATTCGGAGAAAAATGGAAGAAGCGAAACACCCATGCAGAAAGAAAGAAAGAAAGAAATAGATAGATAGAGAGATGCACATCCACAAAGACCCAAAGAAAGAAATGAAAAACATATAATTATTCCATTATAGAAATGGGAAGAGGACGAAAACAAAAAAAAATTTATCAATAATGATCGGAAATAGGGTAGAAAGAGTAACCCACAAAGGAAATATACACAACCACGCAAAAGAACAAAACAAATACTACATTATACATATACAACAATATATAAAAAAAACACTCTTTTTCTTTATTTTCTCCTTTGGCAGGTGCTTGCGTTTGTGTGTGTGTGTGTGTGTGTGTGTGTGTGTAGTTTTGCACTAATTATTGCAGAGCAATGAGTTATCGAAAGCCTGACTGAAACCGCTCATTCTGATTCGAAGTTAGTCTATTAATGACGCAGAGCTCCTGCTGCATCCAGTGATTCTCCTCCATGTTTGATGTATCCTTAGCCAGGAGCAATAGCTCATTTCTTCTTTTTCTCTCTTCCTCTTTTAAAGCTATCTGCTCATTGCGTCTGTCCCTCCTTTTCTGTTTCAGTATACCGTGTACCTGCAGAGCTCGTTTCTCCTCTTCATCCTTCTTCACCATCTCAATCTTCTCCGCTTCTGCTTGTTTACACCTTCGTTCTTCATCCCGTGCGCGTTGCATGTTTCGTCGTCCATCGTGGCAAATGCCTGAGAGTGCGTTAATCTTCTCACGTTCCTGTTCACGCAGTGCACGAAAATGTGCACGCCGCTCATCTTCCAATGCAACGCTCTCTTCTTTGACCCGGCGTAATTCCTCTCGAAGCATAACAAGACTCATTCCACCATATGTGACATCATCTGGTCCTTCCCGTTGTCGACGAATATTATATTCCATCAATTCCGCCTTGCGTTGGCGGTTCCTCTCCCGCAACTGTCGTATCTGCTGAATGACGACGAGACGTTGGGTTTGCAGTCTGTCTTCCTCCTCAAGTGCCTCTCCCCTGAGCTGTTCATTCTCCCTTCGCAAATCAGCTGCTGTAGAGAACCGTTCTTGAAATGCTCGATTCACTGCTTTTTTTCTCTTTTCATCTAACTCACGGCGTAGCCTATTAGTTTGATTCCGTTGTTTTATTGCCGCAGACTCTTTCTCTGCCGCAGAGGACTCAATCATCGATGTGATATCAGCCCTCAACTGCGTTGACTCAACCTTTTTCATCTCTTCAAGGGTCTTCCTCTTGTGAATGGCATTTTCAGCAGAGCACTGAACCTCAACTTTACGGTTCAAGAGCTCTGCCTCACGTTTTTGCGCATCGTGCGCCTTCCCCTCCTTTTGCCACTCCTCGAACTCCCGTGAATCACGAAGAGACATCTCTACCTTCTCCAGAGCTCGTTTCTCATCCTCCATTTGCTTTAAATACACCTGAGCCTCTCTTCGAATAGCACCGGCAGTCATACGCACAGGTACAGACTTTGTCAACAACTGTCGTAACCTTTCTGGTGATGGTCGAACAGACTCTGTGTCGCATACAGGCTCCTCTATCACTTTGGGTGCCGGTCGAGGCGTTCGCGTCATGAAACTAAAACCAATTGGTACTGTAACTTTCTTTTGCTGTTTGGGTGCCTCATTAGGTGGTTTTGTACAGTCTATACGTGGAGGTCGCTTCTCAGGAATCGTGTAGAGCATCTCACGTACCTCTATAGGAGGCACATTTCCTTTTTGTTTCTTTACATTATTCGCTACCCTTTGTAGCATTTTCTCTTCTTTCTTTTCAGATACTTCTTGTGTGGTTTTGGAGTCCTTCTGAGTGTTTTCAGTGTCTTCTACGCACACGACACCAACAGCTGTCTTGCCTAAAAGCCATTGGATAACATCTTCCTTGACATGAGAAGCGATTTCAGACAAAGGTCTGCATACACTACTCATGATAAAATTTGCATCATAATACTTGCTCCAATATGGATAAGAATATTGCATTAAGTTTTCTGAATTGATCATGTATTCAAGATACTCTACAAGACGTGATGTTGACATGCTTCTATACAATAAATCTCGTATACAATGGCCACCCAAGACTGTGTAGCGGAAAACAATTAAATACGCCACAAGATACATGGAGAATCTATCATTTTTATTACGCCGCATACAATCACAGTACCCATTCAGCATTCCTTCGCATATTCGCTCAAAATGCAGAGTATCAGAAACTGTATCACGCACCAACATGGCTTCCCCTTCACTAAGTGTAGTGCAATTCTCAAGAGTTTCATCTAGAATCTGTTCGGGTGGGATTATTGCAGTCTCCTGCAAACATCGAGAGAGAATATCAACCATAAGCCTCCATAAATCACGTGGCCTCATGATTTCTATCAAATTGATGCAAGTACTAACTGCAAAGTTTTAGGAAATAGAATAACATAAAAGAAATACAGGCAAGGGAGAAACATAAATAACAGAAGAAAAAAAAAAAAAAGGAACGCTCGGTGGATTTACTTTTTTTTTTTAGTGAGTAACAAGATCAGCAAAGTTAAAAATGTGAGAAAACAAATCAAGTAAGCGTATTAGATGAAAAAAAAGAACGTTGCTACACCCCCGCTTCTTCCCTAATACTCCTAGAGATCTCACAATGTTTTCTACCTCACAGATCCTTAGCATGAGTGGCGCTGGGGTTCAACGACAAGTTGTTGCTGTCCAAATAGAAGGCACCGGCACCGTTCTCCTTAATCATCTTGGCAATGGTTCGAGAAGCCTCCAAAGCTCGCAGTGTAATGAAAGCAGGATTTTTTTGTACAGCATCACCAATAAGTTTAGCCGCTTGTGCCTCACCTTCAGCCAAGAGAATAGCACCCTTCTTCTCCTGTTCTGCCTGTTCCACGCGCCACTTGGCACGCTCTGCCATTTGTTGGGCCACCTGTTTGGCCTCCACTGCGTTTGTGTACTCCTTACCAAAGCTCATTTGTGTAATAGAAACATCTGTAATATCAATGTTAAACCTCTTAGCACGTTCACTCAGCATGACAGCAATGCGGTGACTCACTTCAGGGCGTTTCACAAGAAGATCAGAAGCGTTAAACTGTGCTATTACTGCGCGAATAATTTCATTGATTAGTGAGGGTAGCACAGTTTCCGCATACTCCATGCCTAGGTTACGATAGACATGAGATAAGTTTTGCACATTAGGTTGATAGAGAACACGTACTGCCAAGTTGACCGTCTGCAAATCGCGACTTCCAGTTGCCGTCATGACTTCCGTTGGTTTATTACGTATGTCAAAAACAACAGGAGTTTCCAGAAATGGGATAGCAAAATTGGCTCCTTCGCCGTATGTTGCATCCTTAAGACCTGTAATAGCATTGAACTTCACCGCACGACAGCCACCATCAACAAAATAGATAGACTTATACAACCCCACACCAACAAAACCGCTAAGACCCACTAGAGCAGCGAGTCCTGCAACATCGCCAAAACTTCCAAGGCGTTTCCTTACTTCCCTTGCAACACGGGAAAAATCAGGACCGGGTGGTACCTTTGCCATGTCTCGCTGCTTATTTGTTTGTTTGTCCTTTTTGTTTGTTTGTTTTCTTTTTTTTTTTTTTTTTTTTTTTTTTTTTTTTTTTTTGATTCTTTTCTGTGCTTCTGTCCGTACGAGTAATATATTTTTTTAATAATAAAAAAATAAGTTATTATGGGTATTAATAATCCGCCTTTTCTGTAAAGAAGAAAAAAAAAAAAA